GTCATGATTAACTGTTGCCACTTAAGTGGTGAAAATTCCATTAGGGGTCATTTCATTCAGGCAAGTGGCAAATTTAAGCAATTGCAACAAATTGACATGCAGAGCAGAATGGAAGTCGTCCCACGTTGGGTGAATATCATTTTTTGTTTGATTTCCCTTTTAAAATAAACATGGATTGATTGAAGGTTACAAACGTAATTTATTTCTCTCTCCAAATTCTATTGAATTATCACAAGTTTAAGTCAATTAACTGCATGTTGATTTCCTTTATCTCTTCCATATTCGTGAGTTAAATAAGTGCAATCAATTGAAGTAAAATTACTGGTGTAGCGGATTCTTCCGCTAAAAATGACGGAAACTTCGGCTTCAAACGATTCACCAACTGAAGTCAACCACGATAATGCACCAGAAGCTATGTCCTGGGAAGTTGTGTCTGGACGAAAACGACATGTAGCTTCAGACAGAGATCCACGTCATAAACAAATAAAGGTTAGTGATACTATTATTACTAACAATCGATTCGAAGTTTTATCAAATACTCCGGAAGATAGACAGCCAGCAAATAATAATCCCATTATTATTAGACCTCCACCTATTCACATAAACGATGTGAAAGACTACACGGCATTAGTAACCTATCTTCACAATGAAGGTGGCCCTAACAGTTTCAGGTTGAAAACGTCTATGAGAGGAGTCAGCGTGTATCCAGAAAACGCAGAAATATACCGTAGGTTAGTGACCAGTCTTAGAAGGGGTGGAGCTGATTTTCACACATATCAACTCCCGGAAGATAAAACGCCTCGAATAGTTATTAAAAATTTACACCACGCCACACCTCCAGCGACCATAAAACAGGAACTTGCCAACTATGGTTACGAGGCAACCAACATCGTAAATGTTATATCAAGATTCAAAACACCGTTGCCAATGTTTTTCGTTGATGTGTCAAAAGCAACGTTCAATGATAAAATTTTCGACATTGAATTCCTGTATTACACACACGTGAAGATCGAAGAGCCAAGGAAAAAAAGGATCATTCCGCAGTGCGTACGTTGTCAGCAGTATGGCCATACCAAGACGTACTGCAACCACCAGCCGAGGTGTGTAAGGTGTGGTATGGGTCACGAAAGCACTTCCTGTACAAAGACTCGAGAAACAGTCGCAAAATGTGCGAACTGCCAAGGACCACATCCTGCTAACTACAGAGGTTGCGAAACTCTGAAAGAGCTTAGGAAGACCCGCACAAGAAACCATACTCTGCAAAGGCCTCCTAGAGTTCAACCCCCACCACCAGAACTACACGAGTTCCCACCACTGCATCAGCCTCAATACCCTCATCCGATTCCCTCAGGACCAGAACAACAGCAGCAGAGACAGCAACGAAAACCAGCACCGGCAACAAACCAAGAACAAAGGCCTAAAGTTATGAGTAGGGGCATTGCCCAAACGCTCCCTACTATTGAAACCTCCTCAGGTGATATCATACATTTGATTAGCGGTCTCAATAACCTCATACAGCCCCTCTTCAGTCTTCTACAACAGCTATCTCAGGCTACTCTCGCTCTTACCCAAAAATATGCCCCGTAATCAGACGACTGTGGGCTCCATGTCTATTATACTATGGAACGCAAACGGACTGAATCAACATAGAACCGAACTAGACATATACTTACACGAGAAACGCATTGACATTGCACTAATAACAGAAACACATCTGACACCACATTCTAAATTTTACATCCGTGGTTACAAAATCTACAGAACTGACCACCCAGATGGAACTTCACATGGAGGCACTGCCATAATTATCAAAACAACTCTAAAACATAATCCTTTACAATTACCCATAACACCAGAGATTCAAGCTACAGCCATTACACTATCAACACAACAACAAAACATTACTCTTGCTGCGGTTTATTGCCCTCCGAGGTATGTTCTGACACCCATGATGTTTAGTAATTTCTTTAAACGTCTTGGTAGATGCTTTGTTGCAGGAGGCGACTACAACGCCAAAGATCAGTTCTGGGGATCCAGACTATCTACTCCAAGAGGAAGGAATCTTAGGTATGTTCTTTATGAGCTTTCATTAGACACAATATCACCTAATTCACCCACGTACTGGCCAACTTCTAGACGGAAAACACCAGACTTACTCGACTTTTTCATAACTAAAGGACTCCGAACAACACCTCACACTATAACAACGAGTTCAGATCTTTGCTCTGATCATTCCCTTTTGCATTTGGTATTGTTTGAAGAGCCTTGTGAAGCTACAAAAAAACTGTCCCTGATCAATGGCATAATGGATTGGGACAGGTACAGGAACCAATTGGACACTGCTCTCTCTGTTCCTCTATCCATTAAAAACGAAGAAGAACTTGAGGATGCCGTTGAATACTTCACACGAAATATCCAAGAAGCAGCATGGTCTTCATCAGTAGCAAAACCTCAAAAATATGAGTTCCTACCAATGTACCCACAATACATAAGGGACTTGATCAGAGCGAAGAGGAGAGCTCGCAAAATATGGCAGACTGACAGACTCCCATCAGATAAACGAACTTACAACAGACTTAATAATGAACTCAAGCGACAGATTGGAAAATTCAAACGAACAACCTATGACAACTACATCAGAAATCTCTCAACCGACGATGGAAGCTTGTGGAGACATACCAAAAACCTTATTAAGCATCGTGAAGTGTCAGCACCCCTTCGAAGACAAGATGATTCCTGGGCCGTGACGGACGGAGAAAAATCAGAACTCTTTGCCGAATATCTTTCTTCTGTTTTTGTACCACACACAGACTTCACTAACACTGTGCACGATAACAACGTACTAAACACTTTAGACATGCCCTTACAACTAACTTCACCTCCTATTTCATTCACACCTTCACAGATTGCTGAACAAATCAAAAAGTTGCCTAAAAGAAAAGCTCCTGGACATGACTTGATTAACGCTGAAGTGCTCCAACAAATGCCTAGAAAAGCTCTAGTGCTTTTGACAACTATTTATAATGCAATACTGAGGACAACTAAATTTCCCCTACAGTGGAAATACTCACATATAATAATGATTCACAAGCCTAAAAAGGACAAAAACTCACCTTCCTCATACCGACCAATCAGCTTACTACCTATCTGTTCCAAAATTTTTGAAAGCTTACTGAACAAAAGACTTGTTGATATACTAACAAACACCCAAATAATACCTGACCATCAATTTGGATTTAGGGCACATCACTCAACTATACACCAACTACATAGAGTAACGGACTACATATCTACAGCACTAGAGCAGAAAGTATATGCAACTGGCGTATTTCTGGATGTTGCTCAAGCGTTTGACAGAGTTTGGCACCAGGGTCTTCTCTTTAAACTCAAGACAATACTCCCACCTACATATTATCTAATTCTACAATCCTTCCTTTCCGATAGATTTTTCTCGGTCCGACACGGGTCAGAACTATCTTCCATCAGGTCTATCTCAGCAGGAGTACCTCAAGGTTCAGTACTCGCTCCACTACTCTATATCACATACACCCATGACATACCTTGTAGTCCCAACATTTTAACAGCGACATATGCAGACGACACAGCAATTTTAGCAAGACACAAAAATCCAACATACGCCTCACAGACCCTACAACAGTATTTAACAAGATTACATGACTGGTTCAAAATTTGGAAAATCCGACTAAATCAAGACAAATCACAGCACATCACATTTACGCTTCGACATGAAACATGCCCTCCAGTTTTCCTTGACGATACACAGATTCCACAGACAGACACCGTTCACTACCTTGGTCTGACATTTGACAGAAAAATGACGTGGGGCCCACATATAATCAAAAAACGAAAAACTTTAAATCAAAGATTAAGAATTCTGAGTTCACTTCTTTCAAAAAATTCAAAACTAAAACTTAGACAGAAATTGAACACATACAATTACTTACTAAAACCTATTTGGACTTACGCATCACAGATATTTGGAACTGCTAAAAAGACTCACTTAAACAAACTTCAAATCTTTCAAGCAAAAACATTCAGAACAATTACAAAAGCACCTTGGTACGTTAGCAACAAAACCTTACCTACTGACCTCCATATGCCGACTGTTAACGAACACATACGTATTCATTACAAACGATTCCATGACAACTTACAAGGACATACTAATACACTTATAAATGACATGGCCACTACGAATATGCCCGGTAACGTCTGTAGGAGACTGAAGAGGAGCTGGATGAGGGACCTCCTCGCCTAATGTAGATATCACGCCGAGTGAGGTGCCGCTGGGCACTGATCCTCCTCATGCCTTTCATGACAATTCTATTAATCAATCGATCTCACTTTCACTGGTTGTCATTAGCATTATGACAGGTGTGAATAAAACATTAAAGCTAAAAAAAAAAAAAAAAAAAAAATAAACATGTATTTCAGGTCTGATAACAAATGAAATGTGGAATTTTTAAATATAAATTAATCAAAAAAGAAAACCGCATGGAAATGTAATCAAATGCATGTTTACAAAGCTTCTTTACTATATTTAAAAGTTATGATGTTTTATTTATTAGTAAAGATGATGGGGATCAATGCTATTTATGGTTCAACCTTATTTAAATATACGAGAAGGAGTTGATCGGGTGGCTGCGGTGAAATAAATGCTAAATTATGGAAGTGGTATCAGGCAATGCCAATGCTTGATGCAGCCCTGATGAAGACCTGCAAGGTAGGCCGAAACGTCGACGTAAAAATTTAATAATATTGTTTTTATAATTTAGTATTTATTTGACCGCACCCCCCGATCAACTCCTTCTCATATTATATCACGGTCAACCATCTCTACATCATTACTTAAATATAATTTATCAACATCCAATGATTGAAATTCATTATTCAATTATTAAAATGTTGAGGAAACATTATGTTATTAAAGTTATACATAAATTATATTAATTATATAGGCTAATCGTTAGGAAACTCACCTTAATTCCAGGCACAGCAACTGGGGGTGCATGTTTAAGGTCGAGGTAGAACGTTCGGCCGAATCCTTTGAACTTGTACCTCGGGTGGGGATCCCAAATCCTGTCTTTCTTGCCTCTGTAATGGCCCGAATGGTGACCAACAACTTCTAAAAAAAAATAAAAAAATAAACTAAATTACAATTAATATACAAAATATGGTAAATTAATTAATGGATCATTTAAAATTAAATAGAGGAAAATAATAAAAACGAAGCAAATCATTGAAGCAATAAATTTATTACTGTAATATTTGAAGAATATTACGTTAATGATACCGTTCTTTTTGAAAAAATAAAATTTAATAATTTTAAAGAGATTAAAATTGCAACCAATTAAAATATTCTACACGTATCGTCACAACTTGAGAATTAATGAAGAATATACAAATCAGTAGAAGTAGTTAATTAAAAAAATATGTACTTATTTTATTATTGCTCATCGTTGTATGGGAGGAAATAGAACGACCATCAGAGTTTATTTTGGTTTCCGAAAACCCGAAAGTAGAAAAGCTTTGTATTCCTGCAGGAGGTTATAAATAATTTTTTCTCATAATCGAAAAATTCTATTCCAAGGTCTATATTTATACATCAAGAATCAACTTTGGTATCGTGTGTGTTGTAGTCGAATCAATGCGATACGCGAATCACCTACAACTGTCAAATCAATTTCATCTTATTTTTTGTCTGTTTATTGGGTTGGTATTCAAGTTTTGGCTGGCCCTCGAAGTTATTTGAGTTCGGACCTCGAATGGTAATGCAGAGATTTAAAATGTAAGTTTATTCAATGCAATTAATTCAAATAAACATAAATTCAAAAACAGCTGGTTCGATTTGGATCACAATAAGGAGGAAAATTAGGTGTTGGAGAAAAAATGATCAAGTAAGTATTAGTTTCATAAAATTCTATTGATTTCTTTGGCTGTTAAGGAAACGTAAACGTATATTCTCTTATAAACTTATATTTAATATATATTGATACCATCAATAGAAAGACTCTATACCACAATAGAAACATTTTCTTGGTTTTTTGAAGTGAAAACTTCTTCAGACGCGTCTTGCACTTTTTTTGTGGAGAGTGAATTAGATTGAACCGTCAGATCTTCGATGTGAAACGCTCTAGTAAAGCCGGCTGGAATCGACTAATTGAAGTGTTTTCGTATATGAAATAACATATCTCAAAAATTAAAAATCGGACCTGCATACTGTAAGCGAGAGAGATGTTCAGTGTTTCATCGTCTTTATAATGAGCTAGTATTTATAATTCATATTTCATATTATTTTATATATTTATATTGTTTTTGGTCCTGTTAAGGGAATATACGGGAACTATAAAACTAAACACGAAAACGTTAATGGAAGCCGGTAAAGAACTAGGGCTCGAAATCAACAGAGACAAGACAAAATATATGGTTAGCTGCAAGAATGGCGATATTGCCGGTGATATCGAAATAGAAGACAATATGTTTGAACATACAGAGAAGTTTAGGTATCTAGGATCTACGATATTTGACTGGTTAATATTTGCTGTACCGAATGGAAAACGTCCGAGAGGTAGAACGAAGCGAAGGTGAGAAAATTCCGTTAAAGCCGATCTGAAGGGACAGGGTTTGGACGGCGAACGGTGGAGGAAGGTGTGTAATAAGCGATTGGTGTCGGCATCGTACGCAAGGTACGCTTGGGGTTCGCTAAGCCGTTTATTATTATTATTAATCTCGCCTTGTTGATGTTTTCACATCTATCGTGTGGTATAAAGCAATGACCTTAGGTTTTTTTTTTATTATTTGACTGTTGATTAGTAGTGTTGTTTCTCGGCATAACGCTATCGTCATTACGTAGGTTCACCGAACCGAGAGACAGGGCCCTCTTGTTGGGGCTGCCCTTTTTTTGTACACAGTCCTCCTGGGAGGGAGTCCCTTCCGAATGCTAACCAGCTTTTTACCGGTCACTCCCGCCGGCATCCGTCTTTGAAGAACCATCACGTACCTTACTAAACGAGTCCCTAATTTCATCTGTGGTCTTTTAAAAAAGTGGAATCTTCCTTCATTCCTTAACAGACTGGGAGGCTTCATTAGTGCCTGTGAAGAAGATGAGTGATGAACGGTCATAAATATGTATGTTACGGTTTTTCAGTTGGCGGTTTTTAAAACCTTTAATAGTCTTTTTAAATCAGGAATTGATTGAAAGATTTATGAATCCTTCATATTGCACCGCTGGATAAACTTAAATTCGTAAAATGTTGTGATTATTTATCAGTAACGCATTAATGAGCAATGCAGTTGAATAAGTTGAAAATATGTTTGGCCACTTCAGTTAGTTTTGGTAAAACTCAGTGTTAGGTATTCGTTTGACACACAATTTAACGTTCTGTAATTTCTTAAAGAATACATTTTTAGTTTTGATGTATCGTTTGGGAGTAGTAGGTAAAAAAACTAAAACATATTATAAATGTCATATATTTGCATGCATGAAGTATATGAAATATAATTACGTATATTGCAATATAAGTAGTTACAATTATACATTATTTTAAAGATGTACATTTTATTTATACGGATCACCACTATTCTAATTTACTCTTATCTTACTTAGGATTTATTTTTACTTTGCTATAATTCCCTCTTACATAGCTATAATTATCTTTACACTTTATTCCTTATTTATAATATTTTCACTTTATATGATACATGGCCCGTTTTAGTTTTTATCCATTTTTACTTAATAATTACATCGTATGGTTTACACAAGAGCACTAACGGATCCAGGATTTAATTTTTTTGGGGGGGGCTTCAGCCTGATAGATTTTTTAAAATAAATATATTAGGATAATTACTTCGGAAGAAGTAAAGAAACTAACTACTTATATGAAATTGTCTTTTAAGTGATTCTTTGAGTCCTATTAACTGTAATTAGACGAGCAATAATACTTTATAAAACAAGATTATATTTTACCAATCTGGAGGGAGCGGGCTTCAGCCCGTAAGTGCCCTCTCTCCTCCCCCCGTAGATCCGGCCGTGTACAAGAATGTGTATTGCTTAGACGAATAGGAAGTGATCAGAGAATAAACTCATAGACAGCTCACGTGCTACATGAAGTATAGCATGTTTCTTCTATTGTAGATAAAACAATGCTAGGGAAAGGAGGAAGGTATATTTACTCAGGAGTGTTCTTATTATCCACTGGACTCTGGTTATCTCTAACCATTAGCGAGGGATTGGTCTGGAATTATAGGGACACCAATGATTTACATCATTTCGAATCTCTACAGACCGTTCATCTTGGCTGAATCCTCACTGCAACCTATAATTCACAGTGTCAAATGGTATCTGATATACTTTCCTACAATATGCGGTGAAAAAAAAAAATTCAATAATTTCAAGTGTAAGCAATTTTATGTCTTGTTCCACCCAATAATCCTGGACTGTCATCTATTTGAGGTCTGAAAACTATTTAACTTGCCCTTCATATCCAGAAAGTGATTTGATTTCAGTCTTGCTGAAGTCAAATCCATGTGATGGGTGTATTAAATACTAACATTATTGAAATTTAGATTGAATGTTTAAGTAAAAATAGAACTGTTCCCTAATTTAGAAACAATCTGTTTAATTCATTGGAAAATAAATCAAATATAGTTAGGATGTTTGCCCTCTCTCAATCACCGCTGTTTCCAATTCAGAGACGCAATTGGAAGAGAAGCGCTGGGATCTCAGCGGCCTTTCTTTGCCTTTTATACTATGCCTGGCTATAGCCAGATCCCAAAAATCGACCTCATCGCAAGCAAAGGTTTGAATGTAAATTACGAAAGTGTATGTTATTGTAAGTAAAATGAAGTTAGTTTGCAGTTCCAGAGCCAGTGCTCTCAAAAATGGCGGCTGATTTAAAGAATATTAGACCTGCAACTGAGTATAAAAACGAGAAATTCATCGCGAACAATATGAGAAAAGCTTTTATATTTTTAACTTATATATGTGGGTTTATACATGTAAAAAACAAAATTAGTAATGCGAGTCACCAAGGAAAAACTTTTTACAGCCAAAAATGTCACAAATTTAGTTTTTGTTTTTTCACCTTCAATTCCTAAACGATGCATCAAAGCGAAAAAATTATATTTTAAGAAATTACAGAAAGTTAAATTGTGCTTCGAACGAGTACCTAAACTTAATAATTTGGTTAAGTGGTATAGTAAAAAACCACGGTCAACTTACGCTGAATTTTACCATATTTGTCAAAAACTGAGACAGATTACTATAAATGGCTTACTATAGCTTGGAAATGAGTTTCATAAGAAGAAAAACTCAAGCATTGTAGAGCATCAAATGTTTCGTCCGCTGAGTACTGACATTTTTTGTTTAGGTTAATTATATATCTGAAATCGGGATTCGTTATTTCTCCATTAAATTCTGAACCTTTCGACACATCGTTCCTCAACATCCATCGCTGCTGAGAGGTGGAAAAAAAGCTTATACTGCGTGTAACAGACTTTAAACAAGAATAACCCACTAGAATAGACACTCATACTGTTATATTATATTAAACTATTATATTATATTACTCATATGAAATATTAAAAATCACACGTACCTTCATTACGGATTTCCAAGAATCGGGAGATTATCGATTTTGTTCGGAGTAAGTGATCTAAATTAGAACTGTTGGTACTCGGTGGACGTAAAGTTTTATGAACTACAACTTTGATTCTATGTTTTTTTTTGCTTTTAGGGAATTTATTTCCAATCTATAGGGTCATTTATACTAATTTGTCTTAGTTTTTGGCCAATTCGGTAAAAATCAGCGTTGGTTGACCGTGGTTAGAAAACCATATCACTTATTCAAATTTTTAGGTTTAGGTATTCTATCGACACAAAATTTAACTTTATTTAATTTTTTAAAGAGTAAATTTTTAGCTTTGATGCATCGTTTAGGAGTCATGGTTTAAAAAACAAACAAATATAAAAAATATCTGTCATTTTTGGCTGTGATAAGTTTTTCCTTGGTGGCCCTCGATAAAATTTTTGATTTTTTACGTCTAAACCCACACATTAATTGAAAAAATAAATAAAAAACTTGCTTAATATTCTTTAAATCAGCCTCCATTGTTGAAAGCAGCGGCTCTGCAACGGCCGACAAACTTCATTTTATTTAGAATAATATATCCTTTCGTAATTTACATTGAAACCTTCCCTGCGATGAGGTTGATTTTTGGGCTATGGCTCCAAGGCTATTAGCGGACTCTTCGGCAAATGCAGATATTGTATACAGGTGTCAATGAATTTTATTTATTTTTATATTCATCTTTAATTTATTTCAGTTATCTACAGATTTTGTAGCCATTATCTATTTATTTATTTATATATATATATATATATATATATATATATATATATATATATATATATATATATATATACACTTTTTTTTATGAAGGCACATATATATTTTTTATCATTATACTTTCTTTATTACTACTTATCATTATTTTATGTATTTGTTTGTTAATTTTTATTTTATTTTTTTATTTATTCCTGTAACAAATTAAAAAATATATTAAATTTTTCGTGAATGCATATAGTGCATGAATTGATGAATTAGCTCAAATTCGTATAGCTCTTTGGTGTGGCAGATTATGTTGTTATGCAATCAATAAGTAATAAATATAAAATATATTTCAATCTAGTACGCAAGAGCATGGGACTGTGTTTAATTATTTATAGTTTTTAAGTATCATAAATATAAATTAAATATTTCAAAAGATCAGTTCCCCCTTGAAACCTATAAAAAATTGTCAAAATAAATATCAAATATTTTAAATAGACTTTACGCCGTTTCTGTAAACCAAAAAAGCCTTAAAAAGCAGATTGTTAGAAACTTAGCAATTTACATTGCGGATAGCTTTGTACTATAGTTACTATTGCATATCAAAATGTATCTAAGGTTTCCAGTTGAGATACTTTTCAATAAATATTTCTAGAATAAAATACATGTGTAAACAAGAATAAAATATAAAGTAGTATAACGCTGTGTATAAACTTCTATTTCTCAATCGGAAACACCTAGCTTCTGGTAGGATAGATACTTAAGAAAAATGAGCGGAGATAATTCCTCAATTTATTCCCAGCAATAAACCCCTTTTATGGTTTTATGGCTACCATAATAGAAAGGCCGACCGCAGGCGTTTGAAGCAAGGCTACAAGAAATAAAAATAAAAACACTTATTGAGCCGTACTGAAAAATTTACAAGGCAGCGGCAGAAATATTGATCAATGATTCAGCCGCCGCTTCCTTATAAATAACCGATTAATGTCAATGAGCGCATGTGGGAATTTTATGCCTGGATTTTCCCAGCAAAGCTCCTTCCTTCCAGCTGCACCGGGCGGAACCTTTTCTTGGAAATGGCCGAAGCTCACTTGCAACTTGTCCTAATGAATGTGCCTCTTGGGCTAGGGAAAGATTAATGCAAGGATGATAACTAATTTATTTGATTAATAATAACAATAAAAGTCAGATTTTATTATTTCATTTTCCCACGGGCAGGCCTTAAAGGCCACGCTAAAATCACGAATTTAATGCTTCATCTTCATCTGCCTCCTCTTCTCCCATATTCCCCTCATGAGCTACGCGTGCTTACATTTTCTCTCCTTAGACCACGCAACACCTTTTTTGGAGCGCTTCTTTTCCGCAAGAACCGTTATTCCCTTGAGCGCTTTCCTGTACTTATTTCTGTCCAAACATCTTGGTCTATATTATCCTTAACCTGTTTGAAGTATGCGATTAAATTTTTATAACTGTGGATTCGCTGAAAAAGTTGATGGTAAAGTCTTTCAGGATTCATCCTCATTATATGGCCATAGAATCATATGGCCTTCCCACCCTAGCGTCAGTTTCTAGATCCGTTGTTTCCTTATATATTTCTTCATTTGACCTCAACCTGTATTCTTCAGGTGTTCTCCTAGGTCCGTAGATTCTTCTGAGAACTCTTCTTTCTATTTTCAGAAGGTTCTCTAGGCTAGGAAGACAAGAAGTTTCTGTTGCGTCGAGTACCACTGGCTTGACGACCGTGTTATAATGTCGTATTCTGGCTTTTAGAGACAAATTCTTCTTTTTATAAAGATCACTGGTGGCGAAGCTTAATTTCTCTATTTTAGCGATTCTTTCCTTAAACCCTTGCTGCATTGCTGCATATGATTTCTCCAAGGTATTTAAATCTCTGAGTTGCTTTAATCGTTCCGTATTTGGTTTCAATTGTTTACTTCTTAAATATTTATATATTATAAAAAACTAGAAGCACCCGGCAGTCAACTGGATCCCTAATTTTAGAGTTAAAAAAAGAACTAAGAAAACAAACATAATAAATCAAATACTTTTTTACGAAGTTTCGAATTTGGTCTAGGGAGCGGTACGGCTCAGTGAATAAAGTTCTGAGCTCATATGTTCAAGCTCCCTTATTCGAGCCAACTGTGTCAGGTAGTAAATTATTTTGTTGGATCGATCATAGAATTAGGAGACTTTCCTGGGGCGTATCTAGCCAATAAAAACTGAGCATTCTCAATTAAAAAATTCATTGGCGGTTGAGTGTAATTTAGGCCAAATCACCTCCCTGCACAACCTTGGACCTTCAAACAATACTTCATTGTAAAGTCCTGAACCCAAGACCCTCCATGGATTTTACCACAGGTATTTTATTTTATTCTTTTACTTTAGTCTAAAACATATAATACACCTTCTATATAATAGCTTATATATAATAGCATAGATACGTAATACATCTTCTATATAACATAAATACACCTCTATAAAAAATATAATACACCTTTTTATAACAACTGGAAACCCTAAATACTGATTTTGATTCAATCAGGCATTTAAATTAAATCTACCTTTTGTTTAACTACTACAAAAACGCATATGGAAATCAGAGTGGAGCTAGGACTTTTGAACTTCAGATTTATATCATTGCCTCTATAAGTAATGAAGAAGATGATTGGGAATGGAATGAAGAAAAAACATACAATAAGATATCCAGGATTAAAATAATATTTTAATGTGTGTATCGGCGTTTCGGCCTAAGTAGTAAGGTGACTTATCAGTAGTAGTTTCGTTGTGGTTAAGAAATACTGAAGATTGTCCGCGTGCTTTTTCTACACATAGTTTTTGCTGTTTTCTTGAAATTTTATAATTTTGAAACTACACAACTTTAATGCGATATAAGATATTAATTTGCCATATTATTGTTACAAAATTTCTTTTCATTGTTTTTGGAAGTATAGTCCGTGATACAGACGCCTTTTAATTGAATTATTAACAAACGCCTTAAACTTTGTGAATAGTTTCATCACTTCGTAACCTACAACTATTTTAATTACGAAAAGTCTTGAAATTGGTGCGTTTTCAATCTGGAAGGGGGCAAACCTTGTCTATTTAATTAGTTACTAAAAAATCGTAAATACCCATTTGCTTTCTACGTGGATCGTAAGATAATTTGATCACGAAATCGAGAAAAAAAGTGGTCTTCAAATTTTGAGCCGTTTGGCGTGACCTACACCTCCAAATTTTCAAAATAACGAGGTTATATTGGACAAACGGCCCAAAATTTGCATAGGCCACATTTTTAATCGTTTAAAGTGATCAAATTATCTTGCGATCCAAGTACAAAGCAAATGGGTATTTACGAGTTTTTAGAACCGAATTAAATATACAAAGTTTGTTCCCTTTCAGATTGAAAACGCCCCACTTCTCAGAGTTTTCGTAAAGCTTACGGTGAAGTGAAACTATTTACAAATTTTCAGGCGGATGTTAATAATTCGATAAAAAGGGGTCTGTACAACGGAATAGTATTAATTATAATCTGATCATCGCATAATGTTGGAAATAAATCCAGTTTATTTATTTCATATTTTAACATGTGGTCGGCATCATTCAAGTTTATCATGTTAGCAGCGTTAGGCTGGTTCAGAGTTGTTGCTTTAGCGTGGTGCAAACGCCATGTTTGATGATTTATTAAACATTGTTATATATTAAAAAGTGTTTGATAAATAAAAGTGTTTTCAGACATTACTTTGGTTTCTCATTTTATTTAAAACCCCTAACATATAATACCACTAATTATTGATGCATTTTTATAAAATTAAGGAAAGGAAAATCTTCAAGGTGGTGAATAATATCCGTTGTATTATTATCAATAAGAAATACACTTCCATGCAAACTCACATCTTGTATCATACTGGATAAAAAAAAAAAAAAAATAAAGTCAATACTGTCCTTGCTTACATAAAATTTCGTCACCCATCCAAGCTATTAACTCTGTTTGTTCAGTTATATAAGCTACATTCACAGAAGATGAAGTTTAAATGAAAGCAAGAATGCAATTCAAATGTGTCGACAGCTACAATCCAATCGAAATTAATCCATCGGAGACAGATATAGAATACGTCCTCAACGATGTCTTTAATGTCTCCTTCACAGATCACAGACGTCTTCATTCAATGAATCAACGGCTTGACAATTCCCTTTATTCAAATCGCATTCATAATGTTTCTAAAATGACTTCAAGAACGTCTTTACACGTTATGTCACATGTCGACAGGACAGTTTCTTACAGTTAATTTTGAAAGTCAATTAGTTTTTTAATTGAAGTTGGACAGAATGTAATGGGAACTATCTTCTAGGATGGAAAATTCACATTGGTTACCAAAGCTAGTTTTAAATTGGAATTCAAATAAGAACCTTGTATTATTTTTTATTAAAATTGTAATTGTATTACTAATTAATTACCATCTGGATCGGGCGGTGGTTGATCGGGTAGTTGCTGGGTAGCCTCTGGAAGCGGCGGCCAGACTTTGATGGGCCTAACGAGCTCAGACGTCTGGCTAGCCGGTGGAGTCACTGGTTCGTCCTTCTTGCCATCACCTGAAAATAAATTAAACAAATTGTTTATTATATTTGTTACTAGCTGAGCAGCGCGGTATCACTTGATATGTTCATGATCAAGTGTGTATCATAAGCCGATTAAAATTCAAAATTTTAGTGAAAAATTAAAAGGGTCAATCACCAAGAAAAAAATGATTTTACGTTATAATTTAGAAATAAATCATATATTCAATAAACGACTAACAGAAAATAAATAACCTCTACTATTACAACCCATGAAGGTTCTTGGGTACTTTCTAAGGCAAGATGATTGGGCCAAGATCACGCTCAACCGTCCGATTTTTGGTATTAATGAGCAATTTAATTAGCATTAATCATTTTATAGAGGCTGTATATGCCTCAGGAGGGTTTCCTGATCATAGGATCGACCCACGGCTACAGTAACGGACGGATCATATCACGGCACCTTAAGAATATGATCACAGTTCATTACTTACTGAAATACCCGGACATATTTTTTCAAATGAATGACGTATTATGTGTCAATCAAAGAAATTTATAATAGTGTTCAGAGATCACATTGACACTCTGTGTATAATAAATAAAAGTAAATTAAACAGAAATATATATATATATATATATATACAATAAATAAGAATAAAATAACAAATTGAATATTTAATAGTTGACCGTTGACCATTATAAAGGAAGGAGATGGTCCGGGGTTGCGGTCATAAATAGGCTAAATAGTGGTAAAACTATTTGATTGAAAGCCGATTTTTCGACCCGACTTTGCAGGTCTTCTTCAGGGAGGTGTGTTCAGCTAGGAGTTTCACTTAGAACTGGATGAGTTCTATTTAGCCTATTTATGACCGCAACCCCGAACCATCTCCTTCCTTCAAAATAACGTAAAAATAAATAAATAAAAAAAACATACACTAAATACACTATCAGAACTCCAATATACATTAATATGGGAATGAAATCGATTTAAAAAAATAAATCAATCACTAAGACAACGCGCTATAAAAAAAAAAAGTGTAACATATTCGATTAAAATGAAAACAATGCAGCATCAAGACTCACACTTTATTCAATAGTGATCTTTAACCTATGAACATATGTTTATTATTAACATTTACTATCAACATTACATTAATACAGTAGTAAAAATTACTATTTTTTTTAGGACACAAGTCAAAATATCTCATTCAGAAGCCCATTTGTTTTTCTAAGTATACATCTCTTAAATACAAGAGATTGATCAATATTAGTATAATTATGATATTATATGTATTAAACGGAATGAAATTAAATATTAGGTAGCTACTTGGACAGCATGAACTGAAAATACAATGATAAGAACTGATTCAAGAAAAGGAGAAATAATAATATTTATCGAATTGCTCCTTTAAAATTTCCGATTCAAGATATAGGACAATTATCCCCAAGAGCTTAACTATTAAATTTATGATCGCTAAATGCAGATATTTATTTATAAGTAAACTTTTCATAACAATACTATGCATCTTAATAAGAAATACATTAGAATTTTTTGCACGCATCATTACATGTAATAATATACGTCAACGAAGAGCCTTTATTAAATTATTATGACCATGAAGAAATAAAAAAAAGAAAACTAAATTTTTTTTTTCAAACTTCCACATTTTTTACCGATGTTAGAATGGAGCATAAATTACATCCACCAAGGATCCTGCAGAATCCTGATCTTGTGATACCATTAGAGCAAGTTCCTAGGATTACATTCAAAGTGTATCTGACATCATCATTGAAACACAAACCACTTAACGTCCTCCCTTTTATAATGATAAAGAAACAAGGTGATCTGTTAGCTTTTTGTTTTGTTTTTACCTAGCGAGTCGTCGGGTTGTATATTTCCAACTAAACAAAACGTTTCCTACTCAAACCTTTACTAAGAGCTGTATCTTGATGTGTTAATTGGTTCCCCTGACAGCTAAATTGTAAGCGTCAATATTTCGGCACTGAGGTGTTACTTATCGCCTGGGGGAGAGGCTGATAGTTATCAAAATATCATAAGACTACTGAAAGGTGAGCGAGTGATCTAGAAGGCCATTATTCACGAACAAGGTCTTTCCTCGTAGGAAGGACAGAAGAAGACACTAATGACAAAGACTTTAACCTCGGTCGACAGGATTTTGACAGGAGCTGTCAGCGCTGTGGAAATATCACCATCCACCAAAGGTTCCGAGTAAATTATATAGTTATTTAGTTGATCAATTGACTAATGTTGATCAAGTAATCTAAAATATATTTGTCTTCATGTGTAAATTTTTATAAACAAATTTATTTTATTACCTACAATAAAACTGTAATATTCAATCAAGATCAGGTTTGGTGGTACTCGGTTCTTTTATTAACGGTTCAGCACTCACGTTCCCAGAAGGACAAGGCAGAGAATTAAACATTTTTTGAATAGATAACATATTTTTACGATGAATTCTCATTAACCAATCCATATTTTTAGTAGGAATAGGAAGTATGTAAACATCGAAGATGATTTTGTAAATTATAACAAAAGTTTTTTCTACAATCGGAATATTAGTCGAAATCGCTTAAATCTAATGAACTGATTTTCTTAGGCCACTTTGCAATAAAAAGTTCCATTCTTCAAATACATCGCCTAAATAAAAACATATACATTAGATAAAAAAATGAAATGAACAAGTACCTACAGGTGACGGAGGATGATATCCAGTCTTTTTTACCACGTCATAAAACGAGTATTAGTCGATGAATAGAAACTAAATGAAAATTTATTAATAGTTTTTCATGCTCCACTATAAGCTATGAACACCTTACACCGAGGGCGCGGCGGCTAAGTATATCTTCCTATTCAAAGGGGCGGATCAAAAAGAAAAACAAATTGACACCGAGGCGTGTCATACCGACTTCATTACTAGCTATATTCTCGACAATGAATGAGGACTATACTTCCAACTGGCAGCTGTACCTACAACATAATGGGCCGGCAAACAGCCGATGAATACGGACTCGGGGTGCAGAGGATCAGACAAATGGAAGGATCAGTTAGCTCCTAATAACACTATATAAGAATCAAACTAATATTCTGTTAGCTCGGCTTCCTTTCACACCCGCAACAAAGGATCCCTCTCTAATACCGGCCTGTCACGGCATAGAATTAGAAAACGAAGCGTGTTAACTTCGCCCCGGCAGTGGGCAAGGCAGGGTTGCGTTGTCAGTCCTGGTGTGGGAGTGCTAACCACTAACTCCTCTAAAGCCATTAAATCCAATGATAAAGCTGCTAACACGCTCCAGTCCTTCGAAGCTGCTTTGATTGTGTTGCAACATTTGGTCCGATGTCGATAACACAAGCAATCTCACCCAAACACTTTTTTCACTGAACTCCGCCAAAACCCACATCTACAAAATCATACCTAACATCATCCTCCCACTCACTTTCCAGTCTACCCTTCGAACGATTGTCCATCAGTTCTAGTAGAGCGATTTTTCATTCCTAAACCAATCTGATTTTAAGATGATAAAACTTCGATTGGATGCCATCTAGCTGAAAGTAACCAATCCAAAAATATGCAAATTTGGGTTTGGTGTGCTTTTAAATAGGATTAATGCTTAGTTTTTACAGCAGAAAAGAGTATGCGATGGAGTGATGAGCTATTATCTATTCTTTTCTGTCCTGGTGATGCCTGAATTGGCGAAACGTTGTCGGTTTTTATTTCTTTGCTTGCACTTAAGAGAAACAAGGCAGTGTGGTTCTGGAATTTTTCTAGTTATTACCTAAAATTTATGTTCTGTCTCTTGGTTGTTGGTACTAATGTATAGAAAAATGACTTTATTCTGGGACAATGTCCCATGAGAATAGCAGCTGTTTATAGAAAAACAAAAAGCATTTCTGGTAAAAAAAAAAGATCAAAAGAGTATCCCCATATCAAAGAATACCATCTATCACCAAATTCGAAGTTGAGTTATTTATTAGTTGATTCTAATAGCATTTTTCTCGATCTTTTAAATGGTGAAATCAATTTACATTATTTTTTTTTTTCAAATCACATATATGTTCAATTTAGCCTTAAACTTGACAGTTGTTTTAAAAAACGGACATATTCAGTGTAAGTGCGTTTAAAAAGTGGACATATACCAAACTGCCAATGGAATAGCTAGATTATGATCACGTGATTCAATCTTTAGTAATGGATACCTGTTATTTTTTGAACAGAAACAACACCAACAAGAGGGATTTATTAAATCCGAATGGAAAGTTGATTCTCTAAACTTAAGTTGAAGAAGGAAAGTTGTAGGAGTTTCATGTTGATAAATTTCAGAATTAACGGTAGCTAATAAAAAAGGGAAAACAAGAATATTTTCTAAATCCAGAAACATAAGATATTGATTAAAAAATATTAACATAAGCCCAACTCAAGATTCTAATGTTAACAGATAGTAATAATAATTCATACTGTTATATTATACTCATAATTTATTCTATCAAAAGTAATATTCGTATTATTTCTAGCTATAATTCATTATTCTTTTTCTTAGCTATGTAATTAAATATGATGAAAAGATTGACGCGTGCAAGATTAGAACACGAACTAAGGAGGTATCGGGTGAAAGTCATATGACCTCATTTAAAGCATCGTCGAAAACAATAAGTTCCTGTACATGAAAGGTTAGAGTATTTTTAAAATACCAGAAGAGTAAGAAGACGGCAAAGAGTGTCATAATTTCGCCGTCATTCATCAAGAGCGATCGAGCCATTGTTTCGTGATAGTTCACAGGCCAGTTTCAACATTTTTTTTATTTTTTGACTGTTCTGATTGAGACCCACGGTAAGAAATAACGGTCAGTTATTTGTGCTGTGTTTAGTCAGGAGTAAAATCTAAGACAAAAGAAACAACAAAAACATGAAGAATATATCTCTATGAATGTTTTAAAAAATAAGACGTTTTTCGACTTCTGAATTTTGGTCACATAATTTAAATTAAATTGAAAATTAAAACTTAATTTTCTATTTTTAGCATCAAAGATCAAATATGATTTTTGCACAGTATTGTCATAATTTATCTTAATTGTGTTACGATTGTATTAATAATTGAAGTTCTTAAGGTTTATTAACTTAAAAAATTAAAATAAATCTATTGAAAGCAGGCTGGTAAGTCAAAGTGGTCTGATGCGTAGCAACAGATTTTAAAATTAATCATTAGTTAATTTATGGTTTGATTCTCTTCCAACCAATAAAAGTTTAAGGAAACGAAAAATGATAATGATAGAAATAGAATAGAACAGAAAATTATCTTTATTCTAGGACAAAGACCCTGAAGATTAACAATATTGTTCATAAAAATTAACAATAAATCAGGCCAAAAGAACTATTACATTACACAATAACTAAAATATAATTAATCAAATAAGTATATAGATATATTTGAGGATATACCAACCAAAGCAGATGTGCAATAGGGTTACAATACTAGAATATTGGTGCTAAAATAATAACATAAAAATAACTAAATGAAATTAGAAAGAAATAATAAATAAATTTTATATGCAAACCACTGTAGTGATAATATATAAAAATAAAAAAAATAAAAAGTGTAAATAAATGATTTACATCTGTTCGTTAAGAAGTTTAAGTGAATACACATAAAGATATTGTAAACAACTAGAAAAGTATTGTGATCTACCAATGAAGCGATAGATTAAAAGTAGAGAAAATATATATATATATATATATATATATATATATATATATATATATATATATATATATATATATATATATATATATATATATATATATGGTAGTCTAAGTTATAAATCATTCTCTGTTACTAATAACTGTAAAAATAACACAACATCTATTAATATAGAGGTGCAATAAAATAAAACATGTGTTCAGAAACACTTGTACTCTGATGAAAACTATCACGTATGTATAACCTCAGCTCATTTACAGTTAAATTTATAATTGACGGATTCGGAAAAAGAGTTGAACAGTGGAAAAAAAATCTTTTAATACGCACACAATATTTTATTTTCCAATGACTAAGATCATCGTTAACCACACACTACTACAAATATCTCACTCAATGAAGTAATAATTTTCAATTCGAAGAACCCACATTAAATATGCAACGAGTTCTGCATAGTTAGTTAGTAGCATCCTTCTAGTTTTCCTTATCGTACGATGTTCTAAAAGTATATTGTGTATTGCATTTTTCGGATGAGAATATTTCCGAGAAAAGCATTTAAAGAAACTTCATTGAACTTTTATTAAGCAAGAAATTGTAAGGAAAATTTCAATCATAAAAGGAAATCAGCTTGCTCTCTGTAGGGATCGTTCATTCAAGTCACGTTATTATGTTTTTTGGCATAACAGCTACACCAACTGAATACATTAAAAATAGATTTTAAATTTACGGTTCAGCAAAAAAGACACACTTACAAAAACTAAAATAATTTTAATCCAAAATTTTAAGACTTATTGTTAACAACAAAGCTTTACATACCGACTTACTACAACCAACTATCGATCAATACATACGTACATTCCAGTCCAGATTTCATCTTAAACAACTCAACGGACTCATCAACGACACGACCACAGCTGACCTGCCCATCCGGAGAATACTAAAAAGGAGTTGGATGAGAGATCTCCTTTCCTGAATTAAAGAAGTAAACCAAGTCGAGGAAGAGGTCCTGCTGAATACTTCCTCGTGCCAAAATAGCCAGTTTTCTTTATAATGAAATCACATCTGCTTATTGTTAAGATTTTGAAAAGTGTAGATAGAAGTATGAAGAGGAAAAAAAAATCATTGTTGAGTCTTTTTTCAATATTCATTTTTCAAAATTGCAGAAATACTTGAATTTCACCATATTTTCAATTGTCAAAACGCTGTTAGATTTTTAACCGATGGTGATATAGGCATATTTTATAGTTAATTTTAAAGCTAAAACATGACAACATAAAGAAATTATTTATTAAAATTTTGAATTTTGCTGATTTCACACACATTATTTTTTGAAAAAAGAAATGTTTATATATTTATTAGTCAGATTAATACCAAATTCTAAGATAGACAAAGTAAATATAATAAAATATAAACACGAATAAGTAAATTATAGATTTTAAGTTGGAGCTATTTGATAAAAAATGAAAGAGTTGCCTAAGTACTCTTATAGATATAGATATAGATAAGTATAGATATAGAGATTATCTGGTTTTTCAACAATAGAATTTGTAACATATAATTGTCTATATAAGAAGCAATAGGTCTCTAAATCTCCCACGAAAAATTACTAAATGTTTAAAGCATTATATCTCTACAACAAATCGTCTGATTTTAGTGATTTTTTTAATTTTTCGATTGCAATGAAAATTTGTATTTGAGGGTTTATCGAGATGTGAAAGAAGAATCTCAACTCCGTTCCTCATTAAAAAAATATTTGAACCCATTTTGCTCCTCCTTCTTGGATAAATTATTTGTTGCATAATATGAAGCTCATTGTCGTGCTAAAATGTAGCATATTTGACAAAAGAACTTTATTCAAATTATTTGTCATTGAAATTACGAATTTTGAAAAATTTCTAATGACTTTCTTCTAATTAAGGAAAAAAAAATTGTTTAAATTAAATGTAAAATTTCAGTGGAGCAATAATAGGATTAAGAGTAAGTAAAATCGAAATGTTAAGCCGTTATTACAAAATTAACCTAATTTGGAAGTAAAATATTATTACTAAATAAAACATTTACTCTATTATAATGGAGATATTTTCTTTATAAAATGTAACTTGGAATGAATCGACCCGTTATCTCTCTGAATAACATATATTAAAAAAAAAAATGTAGAATTTTCTCAGTTAGAGGTATTCTAGTTTAACATCAAATGAAAGCCTACAAGATTCATACAGTACTGATTTTAATTTCGTTTAGCTTAATCGAAATATATAAAATATACTATATATCTTTATTTAAATGTACTTAGTTTTTCATTTTATTATTATTGTTTATTTTATTTATATATTAATGTTTCATATAATTACTATATTTTTTTAATTAGTTCTTTCTGCTGTCAAAAAACAAAGGAATGGTACTTATATTAATAATTTTACTATTACTGTAGTGTGAAATGTGCACCAAAACATGACCGATTATTACGGGCATATTGTAAATTTCAAATATCATTAAATAGACACATTATCATTATTAAATGAAAACCTTTATAACAAGTTTTAAATGAGCTATCCCTTTAGTACACTTGG